CTCTTATGATATACTTCATGAATTAAAAAAATGTTCCACTGACAAAGTTCACTTTAAGATGATAAGCTCAAAGTATAATACATTTTACATTCTTATGAACTGGGGCATCAAAGTTTAATGTTTAAGGATTACTTAGTCCATATATTAAGGAAAGTTTTATACCTTAGGATATGATTTTCAAAGTAATTGAAAAGTTTTATTTATAACTTTCATCATAGAGTCAATAATTTGAACTTTTAAGAAACTAATCTGGATTGCCCATGCCCATAGGCTGGTCTTAAGCCTTAATTCACCAAATAATCTACCTTCCCTACACAGTCCGCTAATCTTAACACAGAATTGCTAGAAATCTGTTGGGGACCGGTGTTACAACACAGGGGATTAGGCTTATGATGCATGGATTCCATACTGCAGCATCTGTTTAAGAGTCCCAATTGCTCCACATCCAGTCCAGTCCCTTCCTAACACACCTGAGAAAGCAGTATCCGACAGCCCAAATGGAACAGAGTTCTAGGTTTCTGGGCTCTGGTCTCCAGCAGCCCTGGTCATTATGATCAACTGGGGAATAGGCCAAATCAAAACTCACAATTATCCTGTCTGCTCTCTCTCGCCCATCATCCCTTCCTACCCTACCCCATGCATCCCCCAACCACCACCCCACCTCTGGCTATTCCTGTGTCACTTAGCCTTTCAAACCAAACAAGCAAAAAGAGAAAAACACGCCTTGGTAGTCTGATGATCCAAACTATTATTAAAATTTCACCTGTTGGGACCAGCTTTGTGACCCCAACAAAGAAGGTGAAGCTGCCAGCCTTTGACACCAGCATCCCATATAAGCACCGGTTTGAGTTTCAGCTGCTCCACTTCCAATCCAGCTCCCTGTTCATGGCCTGGGAAAAGTAGTGGGAGATGGCTCAGGTATTTGAGCCCCTGTGGGAGATCGAGATGAAGCTCCTGGCTCCTAGCTTCAACCTGGCCCAGCACTGGCATTTGAGGCCATCTGTAGAGTGAATCCCACCAGATGAAAAATCTCTCTCTAACTTCCAAATATATGAATAAATCTTTTTTTAAGACTTTCATTTGTTTTTCAAAAGAGAAAAATAAAATGGAGTAGCGGCCAGCACAGTGGCCTAACAAGCTAATTCTCTGTCTGCTGATGCCAGCAGCCCTTTTGGGCACGGGTTCCATGTCCCAGCTCCTCCCCTTCCTAATCCAGCTCTCTGCCTGTGGCCTGGCAATGCAGTGAAAGATGATCAAAGCCCTGGGCCTCTGAATCCATGTGAAAGACACAAAAGCAGATCTTGGCTCCTGCCTTCAGACCAGTCCAGCTGGGGAAGTGAACCAGTGGATGGAAGATCTCTCTCTTTCTCTCTCATGCTATATATGTGTGTGTGTGTGTGTGTGTGTGTGTGTGTGTGTGTCTGTCTGTCTCACCCCTTCCCCTGACAATTCTGATTTTCCAAGGAAAACAAAACATATCTTAAAAAAAAAAGAAAAAAATAGGAAAGACACCTCAGGGACATTTTATTTTTTCAGATGCTTCATAAAGCCATTCCTGTTTTTAACACCTCAAACTATTTTAAAATGTGGCAAAAGTTTTCATTTTCTTTCCTTTGTGAAAGTTCCTTGCTCTTGAATCACCGGAACAGAAAATGGCACTGACAGAAAATTAAACAGATTTTCAAAAAATATGAAACAGCTCCACACAGCATAGCTAATCTGAAATTTGCACTATTACAAAACTCAAAACTTTCTGAACACTTGACATGTAACCATCAGTGGAAAACTTCCTGTATGACCTCACATCGCAGGTCACAGTAAAAAAAAAAAATACTGGCACACTGAACATACTACATAAAATTAAGAATACCTTTACGAGTTATCTATGAGACATAAATGAACGTGATGCTTAAACCTGGATCTTATCTCCAACACCTCTCATCAGGTATATGTGAATACTCCCTAACCCAAGATAAACTGAACCTTAGAACAAATTGAAGCATCCACACATATGAACAAAGCTAAGGCTACAACAGCAGAGGCAAAGCTGGTGCCTGACTTAACAGACTTCAGGTCCAACTAGAGGTTTTAACGAACCTGTACCACGTGACTTAAAGGTCACTAAAAACAAAGGGCCGACAAAGACCATAACTTGAAAGACTAACCCAGCAGCTAGTGAATTAGAAAGATCAGAGGAAACAGGTATTCAGAATGACTCATTCAGGTGACAATGTACATTTTCTACAAACACATCTCAGCACCAGATAACATGGAATTGAGTTAAGAAAGAATAAGAAATACAACATTTGACTTTTCAGAAATATCAACTATGTAAGAGTGAATCCACGTAAGAGTAAATCTACTTCGTTCAACTGTAAATTATTCATTTTCAGTAATGAACTATCAAAATCAAAATGAGGGAAACAACCCTTTTGATTGATAACAAAGCACCTTACTGGAGACAAGGAATTACAACAGACTATAAGCAGTATAAAGCGTGAATTTCATGCATTAATCTAAGATTATAATGTCAATTATCACATAAGTTTTTAGTAGAAGGGACTGATTTACCCTCATTCTTCCGCTACTTGAAAGGCCTTTCTTTGAGAATGAGATTTTAACACAAAAAGCATAATAAAATGTTCAACAGCTAATTTCAAATGCCTTTCATTAGTCCTCAGAAAATTGTGTTGGAAGTATTCCCAGCTCCACTGTTTTATATTTAAGTTCAAAAGAAGAACAAAAATCACACTGGACTATTCATATAATTAGCTCATTTATGAAACTCTGTATAAGAAAACTTAATATTATTTCTGCCATCTCAATCAATATCAGCATTCTTTGTAATTTTACTCAAATATCACTATTAATGCTCCATTACACGACAAAAACAAACACAAAAAGAACATTTTCATGGAGATTCCAATAGTCTGAAAAATGAAAATAAAATAAATGAAAGTGTTGTATGGCTTTTTGATCTTCATTCCTTACAAGTTACAGAATAAAATATTCAATCAATATAGTACATTCACATTTATTCAATCCTCTGAAGTTAAAAATAAACCCCGATTTATTTATTGAAAAGCAAAGTAGAAGAGAGTAAGAGACTGAAAAAGGAAAAGGAGGACAGAAGGAAAGAGAGAAAAAGACAAAGATAGGGTCAGAAAGAGGGAGGAAGAAAGGGTGACAGAGATTTCTATCAGCTGGTCCACACCTCCACATGCTAACAACAGCCGAGCCTGGGCAGACCAAAGCCAGGAGCTTGGAACTCCACTGGGGTTTCCCTTGGTGGGTGGCAAACACACAAGTAACTTGAGCCATTATCTACTACCTTCCCAGTCATTAGCAAGAAGCTGGAACAGAAGCATGGCATAGCTGGGACTTGAATTGGCACAGGTTGCTAGCATTGCAAGGAGCATTTCAATCTTCTGCACTACCATATCTACCCCAGTTCTAACATGAAGTGAGTTTAACTTTCAACTAAAACTTTACAAGCAAAACTCATGGTTTAAGAGGAGAGTAGCAAATCAGGGTAAATGCACTTTATGTAGATATAATAACTTATTACTTATTAATGCACTTAGATGCAGCTAATATTTACTAATGCAATGTTTTTTCCTGTGTATCAATGCTATTTTACTTATTCTAACAAAAGATAAACATGGAGCACTCTATGGTTTATTCCATCATTAAGCAAAGCCACTCTTTAAAAAGAAATAAAGTCAAAAGTCAATCACAATTTTAACTTAAAACTTAACTCCTCAGTGTCTTACAGAAATTAAAGATAAAATATAAAAACAAAAAAAATTTACATAGCTGGCACCATACCATACAGAAATTTTAATGTGACATGAAGAATTACTTATATTTCCAAACAATAGTTACATTCTCGAAATCAAACTAAATGGATGAAAGGCAATCAAAATGGTCTTTTACCCAAAATTTATTTATCTTTATTTGAAAGGTAGATTTACAAAGAGAAGGAGACATACAGAGAGACAGAGAGAAAGAGATCTTCTGTCCACTGCTTCACTCCCCAAATGGCCTAGGCTATGAAATGAGCCGATATGAAGCCAGGAGCCAGGAGATTCTTCAGCTAGCGATTAGCTGATATGAAGCCAGGAGCTAGGATTCCTCTGGGTCTCCCACGTGGGTGCAGGGTCCCAAGCAGCTATCATCCATTGCTTTCCCAAGCCATAAGCAGGAAGTTACATCAGATGTAGACCAGCCAGACCATGAACTGGTGCCCATATAAAACACCAGCATGGCTGGTGAAAGATAAGCCTTCAACATCACCATGCTGGTCTACAAAATGGTCTTTTAACAAAGCTGAGGACATACAGGAGGACAGAGAGGTAACTCACCACATGGGATACTAACATCCTATACTGGAATGCTTAGTTTAAACCTGAGCTCCTCTGCTTCCAATGCCGCTTCCTGCTGATGTGCCCCCTGGAATACTGCACAAGGGCCCCTGCCACCATATTAGAGGCCTAGAGGGAATTGGGGTTTCCTGGATTCAGCCAGGCCCAACCCTGGAATTGCTGACATTTGGGGACTGAACCAGCAGAAGAGATCATCACTCAGTCTCTCTCTATACCTCTCTCTGCTTTTCAAATGAAATATTTTCAAAAGGGGGCAGTACCCCTCAATACTGAAGGTTAACACAATCACTATAAAAAAAGGGGGGGTGGGGGCAGCATTGTAGAATATCGTGTTAAGCTACTGCTTTCCACAGTGGCATTTTCTGTGACAGGGCTAATCTGAGGCCCAGATCCCCATGAATGTGCCTGGGAAAGCAGCAGAGGACGGCCTTTGTGGGAGACCAGGAAGGAGTTCCTGACTTCTGGCTTCAGCCTGGCCCAGTCCAAGCTGCTACGAGCATTTGGGGAGTGCACCACCAATGCCAGACCTCTCCCTTCCTCTCTGCCCAGCCCTTTCTGTAACTCTGTCTTACATACAAACAAATTAACATCAGGTAAAAAAAAAAAATCACTCACCTTTCAAACCTAGAGTTTGTAGCTGGAAGAGCCGACCAAGTTCATAAGGCAAAACCCGTAACATATTGTTATTTAAAAGCAATTCCCTGTTTAAAAACAAAATAAAACAGTTTCATTTTAATATGTCAAACTTCTTTAAAGCCTACATTTGTAATTCTTAACCCTCCTTTTAACATATCAAGAGTGATATTTATATTCAAGCCATTCCTCTATGTTCATCTAAAAACTTTGTACAATATTAAAATGCTAAAAAATGTTACTGTCACAATCATGAACAATGTATCTATGACTTACTTATTTCAAGCACAGATTAAAGATGTATAGGAATTTCGTGCCATTCTCAAGTTCTTTTCTCTTCACCCAAAATGCCTATCATTTGCAAATGAGAGTGACAAACACCCAGCAGTATCAAAGACAGCAGATAATCTGGACCAAGACTAACTGATAGAAAAAATGCCAATATTTTTACACAGATTTCAGGAATAAACCATAATCAATTGCATGTCTCATAGCCGATTCAACTTTAATCATGATAACATGAAAAACAAACAGAAAACGAAATTAGGCAAAGAAGCAAAAGATAATTAAATGGAAAATGTAAAAAAACTCATAACAATATGATAAAAAAATTAATACAGAGCATTAAAAAAAAGCTTAGGATGGTACAGGTAAGAACAGGACAGCAAACTACAGAAAAAATAAATGGTACCTTCACTAGTGGATAGCTCAAAAGGAAAACTCAATGCCAAACAAAGTAAGAACTCATCATGGGATCGTGATGGACAACATTCTAAAACAATACTCATATGTTCAATTTTAAACACATAACTACAAATTTTTAGATTACAATAACAAATACATCATTTTTTACTAATATATAAACAAGGTAAAAATGCAGTTCTTATTTTCATTGGGAACACCAATACAATGCCTGAAGCTTCCAGTTAAATTTTCTCCTATGAAGAAATTCTTACACAACACTAAAATGCCAGATTTTAAGGTTTCCTTAGGAAACTATAATTATAAAATATAAATATGCCTTGCTTTACAGATTGCAGCTATTTTCCTCAATGTTTTACTTATCAACAAACCATATTTTTTTATTTCTCATTGATCTTACTTGATTTTAACCTAAGGTAAAGTGAAAAGTTTTAGCTGTACCCTACCTCAAGTTAGGGTTACAATCAATAGGCAATATTAAGCACATTCTTGGCCAGGAACCTCCAAGTTTCAAACAAGGCAAAGAAATGCTTAAAAGAGTGATTTAAGAACCATGTTTGGACAGTTTCTACCTGTTTACCTTCACATGCCTATGTAAATCCTACCAACAAGCCACTGTTTCACTGTTTGGTACACTTAGAACTGCACAAGGCTGTGGTTTTTCCTCACCTGAGAGACACCATGTTTCCTAGTTCTGCTGGTAAACTTCTGAGTTTATTGGATGACAGATCCAGGTAAACCAGATTATGAAGCTTGGCAATATCAGGTGGAATGCGACTAAGGAAATTGTCATTTAGGTGCAGCGCTGTCAAGTGTGTCAACGACCAGAGTGATGTACTTAAGCTCCGCACTCTACCTAAAAGGTAAAATAGTAAGGTATAAAACTCTAGGTCCAAGATGAAGACTAGGCTGCAAAGATGAAAAGGTGGTGAAAGATACTGCAAATACAGAAAGTTTTCATAATATTAGCCATTTACTTTTATCACCATATGATTGCTTTCCAAACACCCCTGGTTCTCCCTTAATTTCAAGTTGCTAATTAACTCTACTTCATTGTGTTTCACCAGTGTTTACCAGCTTTGTTCCAGCATTCATTCAGCCTACCATTTTGCATCTAGTCCTCTTATCTCCTTAGCCTCCTCAGGTCCACCGTTTTCTCAGTTTTTCCTGTTTTTTCATGACCTTGAACATTCTCAGGATGACTTGGCAGGGACGTTGTAAGAACGCTGCTCAGTCTGCATTGTCTGGTATCTTCCCTCATTATTAGACTGGGTCATGAGTTTTTAGGTACCAAATTCTGTTCTGACAAATCTTAGCTGTTCCGTAATGGCTATCACACATTTGTTGGAATAAATATATAGCTTTTAAGGTTGTCTTCTTTGTCCACAGTGGGAAGACAGGGGAACGGCAAAGATCTCAATTTACAAAAATAATCATCCTAACAAGGCTAAAACAAAAATCTACTGTATCTAAACATCTCCTTTAACTTAGAAACTGAAATCCCCAACACCTTCAATTTCATCTGCCAATTCTAACTCAAGTCAATGAGATCCCAAAAGAGTGAGAACAAAGGTATTTATTTACTGCCAGATAAACACTAGATAAACACTAGCACCTCAGCACTTGTATCTTTTCATTTATTAGTCCACCTATTTTAAAAGGTCCAACAAAAACATAATAAATCAAGATTCAACTCTTGTTCATTATTACTACTACGCCCCAAAATAAATGCTTCAAATTCTACTCACCCGAAATTTCTAATTCTGCCCAGTGCGATTTTTTCCCATTGGCTACCTCCTCTGCTGACATGATGGTGTAAATTCGGCGAGGATCTGGAGGATCATATTTTTCCTTTGGCATCCCTATTAGTCTGTTAAAATAAAAATTTAAAAAAAATTAATTATAGACTTAGGAAGTGGGATACTGAGTTTTTCTCTTTCGGTTGCCAGGCTAATAACTCACTTAGCACTACAATTTTTATGTTTTAAAAAGACAGAACATTATCTGTAGTATGCCAGGCTCTTGCAGAAACTAATTATTGCATGAGGGGAAATGCAAACAAGCTATGACACTACTACACTCTGTGGTGATCACTGTGGCGTGGGACCAGATCTCCTGGCCAACAGTTATGACCATCTAGGGAGTGAGCGAACCAGTAGATGAAAGACCTCTCTCTCTCTCTCTCTCTCAATCCTCCCCTAACTCTGCCATTTAAATAATAACATATTTCAAGGAATCAAAGTTAGAGACCAGCACAGTGGCATAGCAAGCTAATTCTCCACCTGCGGCTCTGGCATCCCATAGAGCTGCAGGTCACAGTCCCAGCTGTTCCAACTCCAGCTCCCTGCTGGTGACCTAGGAAAACAGCGAAGGATGGCCCAAGGCTTTGGGCCACTGCAAACATGTGAAAGACCCAGAATAAGATCCCAGCTCCAGCTTCAGACAGGCCCATCCCTGACTATTGTAGCCATTTGGGAGGTGAACCAGTACAAAGAAGATCTCTAACTCTGGTTTCAAGTAAAACAGAATAAATCTTTAAAAAAAAAAAAGCACAACTAAAATTTCCCATGCTACAATTTCCCCTCATTTCTGAAGGGGAAAGTCATTCCTTTCTATTTGCTTAAAGAGAAAAAAACTAAAGTTTTACAGATTTGCTCATCTATTAACAGTAATTAGTTTCCAGTTTGCACATTTAGCTCTTCAACTCTAACATTATCACACAATCTGGGTAATATTAAACCATATTTTACTTTCCATGAATGTCTTATAACATCATAGCGCAAAGAATATGATTATTTTCCACAGGGGGAAAATTGTTTCTACCATATTCAGCCTACCTAAAACATTTCTGAAAATAAAGTTTTTAGATAACACAATTTTTAGAACTTCTACTGTACATCATAAGGCACATGTGGGTTCTTTTGTGTGCTATTTTAAGATTTTATAAAATTAAATAAAGGATGGAGGGAGGAATACCTACACAACAAAGCTGTATAATGGAAAAAAAATAATACTAAAAAGATTAAATAAGATCAAATCTGACACAGACCCAAAGCTCCATAATGCATAACTACAATGAGGATGGGGAAACACAAAGACCATTCAATCTGCAGAAACACGGGCCTCATAAATCTCATGGGGTGGGGCTAGTGCTGGTATAGGAGGTCCAGCTGCCGCCTGGGCTGCTGGCACACCATATGGACACCAGGTTGCTCCCAGCTGCTCTACTTCAGATCCAGCACACCTGTTCATGGCTGTGGAAAACAACCTAAGATGGCTCAAGTGCTTTGGGTCCCTGCTCTCAGCCAGGAGACTCAGAAGGAGCTTCTGGCCGAACCTTGGCTGTTGCTGCCATCTGAGCAACAAGCCAAAACACAGAAGACTTTTCTCTCTCTGAAACCCTTTCAAACAAATCTTTAAAAAAAAAAAAAAAAAATCACAGTGACACCATGGGTTAAGTTGCTGCCTGTGCCTGCATCCCACAGGGTCAGACTGTTCCACCTCCAATCAAGCTCCCCGCTACTGCCTGTGAGAGCAGCAGAGGAGTCCACATCCTTGGGCCCCTGGAGCCATGTGGGAGACCTACAAGACCTGGATGAAGCCCCTTGCTCCTGGACTTGGCCTGGCCCATCCCTAGCTGTTCAGGACATTAGGGAAGTTAACTACAGGAGAGAAGAATTCTGCCGTACCAATAAAAGTAAATTTTAAAAATCTGAAACAAACAAAAAAAGAAATAGTATCCCCTATAGTATATAAAAATAAATAAATAAAAAGTTCTCTTCAACCACAGCTTTCCTCTCACCTACCTAAGCTTTAAGATTTTAGTGCGTAGCTCAGTATGATTAATGTGATTTCATTTAGGATTCACATTAGGACTGAGCATTGGAACCAAAGAATGTTCCATAAATCAGACACTTCTACTTCAAGCAATCCAACCCTAAAATACAATTCATTAGAAACATTAAGTGATCACCACTGCAAAGGCCATCTTAGGTGGAGAAGCAGATGCAGGTGGAATTCCCAGAAACAGACAAACATAAAATTAAGCCTACATAGTCTGATTTACATTGTAGAGAAAATATCAGTGACTTTATACTTTCAAACAGTCACAGAGTAGGACCAGCAATGTGGTCTAGCAACCTAACCCTCTGCCTGAGGTGCTGGCATCCCAAGGGGGTGCTGCTTTCGGTCTCAGCTGCTGCACTTCCGATCCAGCTCCCTGCTTATGGCCTGGGAAAGCAGAGGAGGATGGCCCAAGGCCTTGGGCCCCATTATCCACATGGGAAGACCTAAAAGAAGCTCCTGACTTCCAGCTTCAGAGCCAACCCAGCTTTGGCCATGTGACCACTTACAAAGTGAACCAAAAATAGAGGATCTGTCTCTTTTCCTAACTCTTTCTCAAGTAAATTAAATGTTTTTTTAAAATCCCAGATAAGGGCTGGCATGATAGACAGCCAGCTAAACCTCAGCCTGCAACAGTGGCATTCAATGTGGGTGCTGGTCCCAGTTCTATCTGCTGCACTCTGATCCAGCCTCCTCCCCTCACCCTTGCTTATGGCCTAGGAAAGCAGCAGAGGATGATCCAAGGCCTTAGACCCCTGCACTGGCATGGGAAAACCAGGAAGAACTTTCTAGCTTCCAGCTATGAACGCCTACCCCTGGCCTACAAGACCATCTGGGGATGGAAGATCTATGTCTCTCCCTCTCTCTGTAAAATAAATAAATCTTTTTTAGAAAGTCACAAATAAATCTTATGCTGGCAGTTATTTCCTAAGATTATATAAGAAAAAAATATAGTACTTGCTATCTACTGAATACTCCCTGTAGCTAACTTCTGTCTCCCATCTGGTAGTACCTCCCTGAGAAAATGTATCTGTGTTTACCTTGCTAACAAACCCCCACACTCTGCCATTTTTTGAAGTTTCTACATCTTCATCAATATCCTTTTTTTTTTTTTTTTTCATTGGAAAGGCGGATATACAGAGAGGAGAGACAGAGAGGAAGGTCTTCCGTCCGATGATTCACTCCCCAAGTGAGCGCAACGGGCCGATACTATGCCGATCTGAAGCCAGGAGCCTCTTCCGGGTCTTCCACGCGGGTGCAGGGTCCCAAAGCTTTGGGCCGTCCTCAACTGCTTTCCCAGGCCACAAGCAGGGAGCTGGAAGGGAAGCGGGGCTGCCGGGATTAGAACCGGCGCCCATATGGGATCCCGGGCGTGCAAGGCGAGGACCTTTAACCACTTGCGCCACCGCGCCGGGCCCAATATCCATTTTTTAAACTACACACAGCTATCAATCACTTTAACGGTCACACAAAATCTGCACTATGCATGAATGGGCTCACCAGATGATGCTAAATCAACACCTGGGAATTTACACTAGAAATAGTAGTTCATGTTGACAACATTAAAGATTGATGGCAATCAACAAGCACTTAGAAAGCTCACCATCATTAACAATGCTAGCCTACCTCTATGCCAAGGGCCTTTGATGGCATTTGTCTTAATTAAAATTTCAACTAAAATCCATAGATAGCAAATAAGGTAAACATCAAAAAGAACTTCATGCCAAATTTTCATGTCATATCCAACTTAGTGACCATTCTATATAAACAAAACCAAACCTAGGTTTTATAAGGGTAAAATCACTCACTATTTTGAAAATAGTCCTCAGACTTTGGGAATCACATGTTTAAAACCAATTTAACATTTACTCAAGAAATAGTTTGCATGCCCAATATTATCACCTACTGTTCCAGGCACTAAAAAGAATAAGACATGCTCCTTATCCTCTGGAACACACAAATGTTTTCACGGGACTACTTGGAAATGCTTTAGAATATTCTATTTTTAAATAAACCAAGTGGAAACCAGCATTTCTCATTCTTTTTACTTTTTGTTGTTCTCTCATCAAATAGCTGTCACTATTATGAAATGAGAACAGCTAGAGGAAACAAAGCAACTTAATCATAAAGCAAGGGAGTGGTGAACAGATATCTCAACAGCCCAAAGCAGGAGTTCTAGGACACAAAGGGCAAATTTTCAGAGGGCAGGCATTTGACTGAGCAGTCAAAACGCCTGCTGGGGCATCCTATATCAGCGTCAGGTGACCAGCCATCCAAGGCAGGAACCTGGTAACCACAGTGATGGCTCAAGTAGCTAGAACCCTGCCACTCCCCTGGCCAGTGGGCCTTCTGCTTTGGCCGTGGCAGGCTCCGGAGTAAACCATCTGAATGCATCACTCACTCTTACTCTTTCTCTCTGTGTCTCCAATAAGTATATTAAGCACTTAAAATATTTAATAGGGAAATGAAGGGTCTAGCATGATGGCTCAATGGCTAAATCCTCACTTTACAAGCTCTGGGATCCCATATGGGTTGCCGGTTTTTGTCCTGGCTAATCTACTTCCCACCTAGCTCTCTGCTGATGCCCTGGGAAAACAACAGAGGATGGTCCAAGGCCTTGGCACCCTGCACCCTATATAAGGGGCCCAGAGGAAGCACCTTGCTCCTGATTGGCTCAGCTCCGGCCACCATGGCCATTTAAGGAGTGAACAGTCAGAAGGAAGATCTTTAAAAAATTAAAATTTTGGCCTGGCAAGGTAGCACAGTGGCTGGAGTCCTTGCCTTGCATGTGCCAGGATCCCATATGGGTGCTGATTCTAATCCCAGAGGCCCCATTTCCCATACAGCTCCCTTTTTGTGGCCTGTGAAAACAGTGGAGGATGGTCCAGGGCCTTGGGACCCTGCACCCATGTAGGAGATCAGGAGGACGCTCCAGGCTCCTAGCTTCGGATTGGAAAGCTAGGAGGAAATGAAAGAATGAAAAGTTTCATTGGGGCAATTAAATAAATGATAAATAGGTTAAGCACA